TCATGCCATGAATGAGACCAGCTCGTCCCAGTGGCCACCTGGCTTGCGCATGCCAGGTACCTAGAAGTTCCTGAGATATTGGGTGGGAGATGAGAAATAAAGAGAAGAGAGACAAAAGCTGGGAGCAGGAGGGACTCAGTGTGCTGTTGGCAAACTGAGGCCTCATTTATTGGACATACAAGATTCTTAAGCGGAAACAATATCCTCATGCTAGGGAGAGATTCCCTAAAGCTAAAACTCCTGGGCTGAAGAGAAACAATTTCTCCTCAGCAACAAGCTATGTTATACTCAATATAAACCAATGATATAGCTAGGCAAGGTTAAACTGAGGCAAATAGAAACTGTCAACAAGTCCACAGTAGAAAGTCCCAAGCATGTCAAGTAGGTCCATGGTGGAAAGACCCAGAGTGGTGATGCATATCGAAACTGCAAGTCCATAGCCCATGAGCAACTGAGTCCCTTTGTCCATAAGCTTTTCCTATCAGCAAGCTGGGGTCTTTACTTTTTGCACTTGCGTTGTCTGGAAGCAGTTTAAGGCAGAAGCACTGTCCCAAAGGTCCCCACAAAACTGCTCTAAGGCTGCTCACCCCAGGCCTGTATCTACCTGGAGACCCAAGCTTGCCAACCTAAAGCCTCAGTGTCCCTGGCTGATCCCAGCCAGCTCCCAACAATGCCGCTTCAGATTCCAGCTTTTGAAGACATATCATCCTGAGAGATGGAACTTGGGCCTATGGTTATGATGCTGAGACCAAGGTTCAGAGTTCTCAATGGAAGTCACCCAGTTCTCGTGCAAAAAAAGTGCATCAATTAAGATCCAACATCAAGATGATGTTAATTGTGTTTTTTTTACCTTGATGGAATTGTGCAAGTTGAGTGTGTGTATCCAGGAACACTACGGTGAACTCGATATTTTTATTTATTTATTTTTAAAGATTTTTTATTGGGGAATTGGGGATGGGAACAGCGCTGGGGAATTGGGGGAAGGGGAACAGACAAGTTGCTGTCCTTTTGTTCTTCAGTCTTGTTGTGGAGGACGTTGCTTCACTGGCCCAAGTTGGCACCATCATTGCTCTCTTCTCTGGCAAGGCAGATCAGTCGCCGGCTTCTGGACGGCCGCTCACCGTGGCTGCTGGCCACTCACGCTGGCTATACACGGTAGCCCATGGCAACCCACTGCAGCAGGGGCTGCAGCCTACCCCGTCGCTGGTGACTCATGGCAGCCCAGCTCCAGGTTGAGATGTTGTTCAGCATCTTAGCTGTAGAGGGCAGTGTCACTGGCCCTCATATGTGGGATCCGAACCGGTGCCCTCTGGCATCCCAAGCCAGCTCTTAACCAACACGCCACTCGGCCGGCCCTGAACTCAATGTTATAAGGGCTTATTAAAGCATTTAAGAAATGTTGTGCATAGAAAATAGCCTGAGAAATGGGCAAATGGTTTTATCCTCCATCATGACAATGCTCCATGTCACACATCTCTTCTGGTATCGCAATTTTCTCAAATAGAAACATTGCAGTGTGTCCTCATTCACCTAATCACCAGATCTGGCACTATGTGACTTCTGGCTCTCCCCCGAAGCCAAAATGACCATGAAAGGAAAATGTTTAACTCTATTTGGGACATTGAGGCAGCCATGATAGCGCAACTAAAGACGCTCATGAAAGAGGACTTCCAGAACTGCTTCAGAAAGTGGCAAGAATGATGGGATAAGTGTGTTCAAAGTGAGGGGGATTAATGGCAATGTGTCATTTACTGTAATAATTTTTTTTAACTTAAACATTCACTGTATTTTTTGGTCATACTTCATACATTTTTCTTGTAGACTATATTCCCAACTCTGGAACAAAAAGGGTATTTCTTCTCCTTGAGATGACTATCTACTACTATACTGTGCATCCCACTGTTTCCCACATTCTCCATTCACTTATTCATTATCCCCTTCATCCATCAGACTCAAAGGCATTCCTTTGCACTATGTCTGCCTGGCATTTGTGTCCTTAAAAATACCATTATGATATTTGACCTTGTCTATCCCACATCTGACTGCAGAGGCAGCTAAATCCATCAAAAGATGGGATTGGCTTCACTGCCATGTAACCTTTTCTTTCTTGTCACCCTTCAGGCTCCTCAGCCAGTCAGTGTCTGATTTGGAACAGATCCTGAGTCTGTTCCAAATGCTCTTCCATCTCCTCAATCCAATGTCTCCACTTGAATATTTCAAACACACCTTCAGTTCATCATGGGTAACAGAATTTCACCATCTTGCCTCCAACACCCCCAATTTCAGTGAATAGTCTTGCCATTCAAATAAGTTTGAAATCCAGATTCAGCCTTTGGCCATAATACTCCACACACAGTGCTGAGAAATTGTGACTGCATCACATAAGAGCACTCTGAAGTCTGGGTGTCTCTTTTTAGCAATTAGGTCCTAATATTAGTGTTTTCTTATTCAATACCAATTTGCCATGCAATTTTTATCTGTTGTGTCAGCATGCAATGATGATCATTGAGTGGTTAATTATTTTATGAGCTGTTGAAACATTTGTATCCTATTGCTATTTTGCATGTATTGGCTAGAAATCCTTTATAAAAAATTTTCCATAATCTATTCAGTTACCTCAAAATACAGTGTACAGAAAAGGGAGGAAAGAGTTTGATACCTTCATTCTATTTAGCAATTTCTAGAATAATTATTTGTATCACTGACATCATCCTCAAACAATAACCAAATGTTTGTCTTGGGGATAAGATGCCCCCTTTGCACACAGGTTCTATCATAGCAGGAAAAAAGCATTTGGTCTCACAGTTCTGGAGGCTGGAAGTTCAAAATCAAGGTGTCAGCAGATTTTTGTGTCTGGTGAGAGCCTTCTTTCTGGTTCACAGACAGCCTTCTTGTTGTTGTGTCCTCACCTGGAGGAAGGGGCAAGGGAATTTTCTAGGGCCTCTTTTATAAGGACACCACACCCCACTGTAGGGGACCAGATGGGATGAGTGCCCAGGGATGGGGCTCAGCAGAGCAGGAACAGAACTGAGAGAGAGAGAGAGAGAGAGAGAGAGAGAGAGAGAACGAGAAAGAACTCCTAGGCAAGTGCCATTATTGAGAGGTGGGGGTGAGTACACAGACAGATGGCATGAGGGGATTTCATTGGTGCATTGAAATGTCTCTAGGTCATGGTTTCCCTGGAGGCTCACAGGGATGTCCAAGATAGGACTCAACAGAGCAGTGGTGACTGGGTTCTTGTCTACACAAGAAAGAAGTCAATATCCAGACAGATGCAGGGAAGTGAAAGTGTTTTATTGAAAACAGAAGTACATACTTAAGAGGAAAATGCAGATGAACTCAGAGAAGAGTTGCTCTGAGGAAGTCACGATCAGAGATATTTATCACTCCCCGGGTGGGGAAATGGGTGACATCCCACTGATTTATATAGTTCATTTATCTCCTCCCCTGGGAAGGACCCTCTATTTCTGCTTTTCTTCCTTATTTGGTTCTTCCAGAACTGTCATGATAGATGCATGATGGGAGTTGCAGTAACTGCAATGCAAATGAGATTATAATGACATTGTAATTAGCTAAAGGTCAGGTCCCAGTCATAGGGATCAGCCTAGCTGGAAGAGAAGGATGCTTATTTTTCTCCAGCTGCAGGTATTATCAATAGATACATTCACTTCCTTACTGGTGTAACCAGTGAAGCACTTCGCTTTGACCCTGGAGGGAGTTGTCAATTTCCTAGGCTATGTGCCCTGCCTCAAAGGGAAAGAGAAAAACAGGAACTTATATGGGGGGTGGGGAGAGGGCAGCCTGATCACACTGGTGCACCTGGTCACTTGGGTGGGTGCTCACAGCATATTTATGGGGATGTTGAGGCAGCAGGAAAATAAGAAGTTGGTTTTTTTTTAAAGATTTTATTGGGGAATGGGAAAAGGGGAACAGACAAGTTGCTGTCCTTTTGTTCTTCATTCTAGGTGTGGTGGACGTCGCGTCACTGGCTTATGTTGGTATTATCATTGTGCTCTTCCCGAATGAGGCAGATTGGTCACCAGCCGCTGGACAGCCACTCATGGCGGCTCTTAGCAGCTCACACCGGCTGCCAGCTGCTCACGCTGGCTGCTGGCCACACACAGTAGCTTATGGCAGCCCACTGCAGCAGGAGCTGCAGCCTACTCCATCCCCAGCAACTCACAGCAGCCCAGCTCCAGGTCAAGCTGTCACCATCTTAGTTGTAGAGGGCAGTGTCACTGGCCCTCATGTGGGATCCGAACCGGGGCCCTGCTGCCCAGAGCTGGCGTCCCAAGCCAACTCTTAACCAACACGCAACTCGGCCAGCCTGGAAGTTTTTTGTTTGTTTGTTTTCTAAGATTTTATTGGGGAATTGGGGGAGGGGAACAGCCAAGTTGTCCTTCAATCTTAGATGTGGAGGGCGCAGCTAGCACAGCTCCAAGTCCAGTTGCCACGCAGCCGCCCATGGGCAGCTCACAGTCGCTCAGCTCAAGGTGCAGTGTTCAATCTTAGTTGCAGATGGGCGTAGCCCACCATCCCATGCGGGAGTCCAATGGCACCAGCTGAGCCATCCTGCCACCTGTTGGCAGCTCAGCAGCAGGTCAGCTAGGGCGCAGCTTACTGGTCCATGTGGGAATCAAAGTGGCAACCCTGTTGCTCAGAGCTCCTGCTCTTAACCAACTGAGTCACTCTGCTGGTAGAAAATAGGAAGTTTTAAAAGTTTATAATACAATGTGTCTACTTGCTCCATTAGAAGCAGCAGAAATAACAAGAAAATACAACAGGTCCACTCTAGGAATATCCGAAAGCTCTCCTTCTTTCTTGGAGCCTCAGCGATCCAATGGTGACTCTTGGACCTTGGCTCCTAGAAGAGGCACAACATTGCTGGCGTGTCCAGATGCAAAGAAAAAACTACATTACCCAGAAGGCTGTGCTCCGCTAAGGGCGGTGCGCGCCGATGACGTCACAAACGAGGGCGCTGTTGGCTTGCGTTGGTAGAAGTGGGACTTCCGGCGTTGCCTGAGTGGACGTCCGTTGGTGTCGTGGCGGGAATTTGGGGACGAAGCGGGGTTAGGACAGCGGGACGGCTTGCCCGCGCCTTTGTGGCACCCGGGGAAAGGTCAGCTGAGCCTGCGGGACGCCCGGCTTCACCGCGCAGTCCGATGGCGACTCTGATGGAGACGGCGCAGGTGAGTGGACGGTGCCCCAGGCCCCCGGCCCGCTCGGGTCGGCGGTGTCTGGAGACTTCTTGCCCAGTCCCGGCCTTGGTGTCTCGGAGCTCCGGGATGAGGTCACACTCATTCGGCTCAGAGTTGGCATTGTAGGTCATGGGCTCCATGGGATCGGGTTCTGTTTCTGCCACCAAGGGGATGCTGTGTGGAAGGAGAGACGTGGATTTTATAATTCCCTACTCTTAACCCCACGTCGCTTGCGTGGGACAACCCTGAGCAAGCTGTAACCTTGAGCAAGCCCCCCTGATCATCTGCCCTGAGCCTCTGTTTTCCTGGGTATAAAATAGGAATATTAACTATTTCTCGTCCTGGATTGAGAGAACTAAAAAGCATACGTGGGTGATGTGTGCCCAGTGTCCATCACTGGCCAGGGAGCATCGCTCCGGGACCTGTTTCACGGAGAGATGCCTCCCCGACCTGTGTCGATCTTAGAGCAACTACCCCCCAACCCCTCCCCGCCGCGGGAGGCCGACCCTTGGGCCTCCCTGGCCTCTAGCCTCTACAAAGCTAAGGACTGGGGTAGGGGAGAGACAGGAGTAGCGTTTTGGGAATTGCTTCTACGCTAGGGTAGAAAAGGTGACAGGCAGGCTGGGAGCCAAGAAGGCCAAGGAATTTATCTTTTAGTTCACAGCAAGTGGAACTGGTGTTTCACTGACAGTAGTGAATCTGTTTTCCTGTTTAAGACGTTCAATTTTATTTGAAAAGTGGGTTCATGCAAATAGTAATGATAGTGTGCAGGAGTGTAGTGTCCCTTTGGACACAAATGCACAAGAGACCCCCAGGTAATTCTCTCACAGTCACCCTGAGTGCCCTCATCATAGCTCTAATCACTGTCAGTACTTGTCTTACTTGTTAATTTCCTATCCACATGGCTCCCTCCCTCACTTTCAGACTCACGCCAGTGTGCCTTCCTGAAAGGCCTTTCCTGTTGCCCCATCTAAAGTGGACTATAATCTCTTTAGCCTCCTGTCTATTTTCTTGTCTTTGGAATTTTTAGGGCCCTCTGACGTCTTGCTCATTTATTTAGTTGCTTGTGTAGGATCTGTTGCCAGCCCCTGACTATGAATGCCTGTTGCTGCTCTATGTGAAGACCTAGAACGGCCTAGGCTTGTAAGAGGTACTCAGTAAATGGTTGAATGAATGGATGGGTCTCCCCCTCAGCAGCTCCCATCATTCTTACAATAAGTACAAACTCCCACTGTGGCTGGAAGAGCGCTCCTGGATCTGCCCCATGACACCTCTGTGCTCCTCCCCTTCAGACCTTCCTTTGCTCATTGCCCCCAACCAGGTGGTCCTGAACTTGCCAAACTCCTGCCTGTTCTGCAGTCTTTGCCCTTGCACTTCCTTGTCTGGGGTCCTGTCCCCAGGTCTCTGCAGGGCTGTCTCTCCAAATCCTTTCTGTGTATCAGTGTCACCTGTTAGGATAGTCTTTTCCTAGCTGCTTTAGTTGTAGCTAAGGTACCCCTGCCCATCTTTTGGCAGTTCTGTGCCATCTTTTGATGGATGTTCAAATCCTGCCTCTGTTCCTTAATTGTGAGATTCTGGGTGACTTTCTAGAGCTGCCTGAGCCCTGGGCCACTGACTATGACATGGAGGTGATGATGGCATTTACCTCGTGGGCTGTTGGAGGATTAGTAAAAGTTCCAAAATACATTGAACACTTAAACCTGTGCCAGGCATTCCAGTGTTTGCTGTGTGAACATTTCCTCTTTAATTCTCAGACACCTGCCTGGTGAAATGGAGATGATTACTATGCTGATGCGGAAATCAAGGCCTAGAGAAATGAAATGTCCTTCCCACATTTACACAGCAGCTGGCAAGTGTCAGAATCGGAAGTTTTGATTAAAACACCTGGGAGCCTGGCCCCAGAGCTAGGGATATCTAATACTTTTGTCACGGCATGTGAAGCCCTCAGCCCAAGGCAGGTGGATGGCAAGGACCAGGAAGGCTCAGCTGCTGCTGCTGCTGTTTTCACTGTTGGAATTACTGTCTTGATTATTTCCCCATTCCTCTGACATCCCAGAGCACTTACCGTCTGCCCCACAGTTTGTGTCGTCCTATCCCTTTGAGTCCTGCATAGAGCTCGGTCCCCAGGAGGCCTTGGTGATTCAGGCCTGGGTCTCTGTACCTTTACCAGTGACTCAGTGGCAGGTTCTGATCCCATCCAAGTGCACAAGGCCAACACCACTATCTTTGTTTGACTTTTCAGGTGTTGGTGACATTCAAAGATGTGGCCGTGACCTTTACTCAGGAAGAGTGGGGATGGCTTGACCTGGACCAGAGGACCCTGTACTGGGAGGTGATGCTGGAGACCTGCAGGTTCCTGGTCTCACTGGGTAAGTACTCACATCTTACCCCTGTGGAGGACCCCAACCTTCTTGATTTCTGGCTGGCCAAGAAGGTCACAGAAGCTACCTTCCCACTTCCCCACAGCCCCTGCCGTTTTTTGGTACCTTCTCCTCCTGGCCGACCTCCCTGTATCTACATCAGGATTTGTTGGGGTAGAAACAATGTTCTTCGAAACACAAACCCTCACCCCAGTGTCCAGCACAGTCAGGCCTCGGTCTGAGGCCTGTATTCCAGATTGCATAGGCGAGGAGCTGACTGGCCCAGCCTGGTTGGGTTAAATGTCCTCACGATCCAGGTGGCAGGGCTGTGGGTGATAGGCTGTTCTCAGAAAAGAGGGTGAGTCAGGCAGGTCCCCACATGGCATTTGTCATCAGTGCCAACTAGGGATCTTCCTAAATAATGCAATCTCGGTGAAAAGGCCCCTGGTGTCACATGATCATCATGTTTCCTGAGGCCTGGGCCACAGTCCTCCACTGGGGCAGGAAATGATTTAGAAGGCACATAGGAATGTCATAAAATGCCATGGGTGGATACCCTGAGAAAGCCAGTCCTTTCTCCTTCTCTGTCTGGTATGTTGTCGTTGTCAACAGAAAGTCTCAGATCAGTGCTGAGTCTTCCATGTCCCCTAGTTGTGGCTAATTTCTCTTTTCAACATAGGAAACAGCCTCCAATTCACAGTCCTCAGCCATTTACATCAGCTTGCTGGGACTTAATGGCATTATTTTCATTTCATTGTTATGTTTTGATGGGAACTTTACATTTTGGGAAGTGAAATTGACTTTTCTCATTTAACGGAGCAATACAGGGTTCCCTTTTAGAATAAAATATTTAACAACAATAAAAAGTGGGTCGGTTTAAAGAGAAACCATCAGTAATGATGGCACATTGTGTGTGCTTTGCAGACCCATCATTCTTGAGTTCAGCTGTGAAGGTAAACATCAGTTCTTAGATGAATTAAGATGAGTTGTAGAAAAAAAATAAAAGTAATTTAGGAGTGTATAACCATGGGGTCATAACCTATCACTGATGCTTCAAAAAAGGCATCTGAGGAAGTGACATTGGAGCTGAGACTTGAAGGCTAACAGCTAACTAGAAGGGGAGATGGAGGAAGGATTCCAGGTGGAGGAACCAGCATGAGAAAAGGCCCTGAGGTGAGAGTGAGCTCAGCTTCTGGCGGAGCCAAAGGAACATGTAATTTACCTTTTCTCCTGCTCCCTGCTGACCCCCTCAGCTTAGTAACAGTGACTGTTACTGAGACCAGTGTGAACGGATCCTGGGCTGTGGATTAGAACCTGCCAGTTGCGACTTCAGTGGGTCTTGATACCTCAGTCACTAGACTTATACAAAGAACCCTCCCATCTCTGCTGACATGTATTTAGCTGCACATCACAGAAAGACTGGCTCACAATTTCTTCCCCCTGAAGGAAGTTTACATGGCACTTAATGAGAAGCTCCAGGTGGGGCTGGCCCATGGGTTTGGAGAAGCAGCAGTGCGATTATGTCCTCAGTGGTGTGAGGCTGTCTCTACTCCTCTCCTGGGACTGGGCACTGGTGCCCTCGGGGGATGTAGGAGGTGGCAGTGACTGAGGCCCCCTTGTGCAACCCTCCCCTCCCACATGGGAATAAGGGCTTTCTCTTCAGAATGAGAATCCAGCTCAGCTTCCCTGCTTACCTCACATTACTGATGATCCGGGATGCCATCCGCCCATTTATTTCCACCAGTAGTTTCCAGTTCTCTCTGGACACAGGAATTCCCTGGGGATGTTTCATAGATATTAATTCTAGGCTTTACCCCAGGAGAGCTTGTTTCTGTTGGTCTGAGGTTGGAATCAAGCATCCGTAGGGGCTCCTGAAGCAGGGGGTGTCAGAGAACCTTTTGGAAGGATGGGCTTGCCTTCTGGTGCCCATGGCTGTGTGTGAAAGTGGAGTGTGTCTGAATAGTGGTGGTTCTGACTGGTAAAGTTTAAGGGCAGTGGTGTTGTGTAGACAGACAGCACAACCTTCCATAGCAGTTTAGCCCAAGAGTAGGACTTTTGCCCTTGGTGTCCAGGTATCACCTCAGCATTTTGTATACTTTGGGAGCAGCTTTATTCATGGTCTTATCTTTGTCATGAAGTCCCAGACAGGATGGAGAGGTTTCATTTTTAGCAAAAAACCTGTGTCTGATTTCTTTCTCCATCAACAGGTCATCCGGTTCCCAAGCCAGAGTTGACCCACCTGCTAGAGCATGGACAAGAGCTGTGGATGGCGAAGAGAGGCATCTCACGTAGCACCTGTCCAGGTAGGCGCCAACAGGTGGTCAGGTGAGGTCATGGCAGTCTTCAGAATACGAGGGCACCACTGCCTCCGGACTTGTTTGTGAAACTCTGTGACCTCCTGGGAGTTCTGGTTGTTTCTCTATCACATCAAGATATATGTTATGTCAGCAGGTCAGCTCTGAGCCACATCGTTATGTAGAGACCCAGGTGCCTTCTATTGTCAGGGTACAGCTTTGCAGTGACTCTGGCATAACCCAGCTAGTGGAGGGGAAATGATGGGGGGAGGGAGAAGTCACACCGTTTTGCACACATCTTTCCCTTCCATTTGTTCTTTTGGCAGGATCCGGACATTTGGCCACACCTGGGTGCTCAGGACTGGGGATATGGTTTAGCTGTGTGACCAGGAATAGAGCCAGTAGGCTGGGCTTATGTCATCTCAGCCAGCTCTTGGAATATTAGTGATGATAGTTCCTATGTGATTGGGTGGTTTGAAGTTGTAATGAGATATTAGCACAGTGCCTGGTCTGTAGAAAGAGTCAACAAAAGTCAGCTCGTATTGTAGTCATGTAATTATGTTAACCATGGGTGACTGACACCACACCTTTCCTTCTGGATTCAGGAAAAGGGGCCTTCCCCCTGAAAATACTACTATACTATATGCACTCTGTAGCCCACTCGTTTCCGCCTTCTCCATTTATCCTCCTATTTGTCCATCAGACACCCAGAAGCAGCCTCTTGTACTGTCTCTCCCTGCCCTACTTGCCCTGAGAAACACCACAGTGATGTGTGGCTTTGTTGGCCCCATGTCTGTGCTGATGTGTGTAACTGGAGTCCTCCACAGTAAGGCATAGTCTTTCCTCTCTGGTGGTCCTTCAGGTTGTGAGTGTCTTTGGCCAACCCCACCACCAGCTCTAGGTTCCAAACCTAATCTCCACTTAAATGTCTCAGAGGCTCACCATGCTTAGAGGACACTCGTGATCATGCCCACTTCTCCCCACCCCCAGGTCAGAGAATGTTCTGCCATCCAAGCAGGTGAGAAAATTGAGCACCTCAACATCTGCCTCCATTAGTCCCAACAGCCATCTACCCATGGTCCTGTCCATTTGACATTATCTGTGTCTCCTGGATTCATCACCTCCACCTTTGTCTTTCGTCTCCTGCCTGGATGATTCCAGACACTCCTACCAGGTCTCCCCCATCTATTCTGTGCCTCTGGTCACTTTTTTTGGCACAAGTTCCTGCATCCACTCTGATGTGTTCCAAATCGTCACCACTTCCTCAGTCAATGACGTCTTAACCCGTAATCAACATCATGTTAAAATAAAGGCTACGTTACGTGCTTTTACTTCCTGCCCCTGACTCCTTCAAGGCTCATCTATGACTGTCTCAACACCTGTGCCTTCCCTTGTCCTCTTTGGACGATGTCTTACCTCTGCTAATGGCCATTCTCTCCAGCAGAGCCCATGTCATACCTTTACCTTCTCAGGAAACTTGCTTCTTCACTTGTTTTCTGCCTTGTCTGTGCTTCATCCTCTTCTACTCAACATATAAACATGCTCAAGGTACTTACATTTGAGGAAAAATCAAACAAACACAAATGCTATCAGATCTGTGAAAGCCCACAACTAATGTGCACTCTACTTACAAAGCCAACTTCCTCAAAGGAGTTGTCTCTTTCTGGAAAAGATGTATGCACTTGACTTGTATATGTATTTTTTAAAATCTCCTTATTTTTATATAGGAACTGTATGGTGATGTGCACAAATCTTAAGGGTTCAGCTTAAATTTTTTACATATGTCAATATTTAAACTGAAGTGTCTGTTACTCCGGTCAAGGTTTGGAATATTTCCAGGACCGTGGCAGGTTCCTGGTGCCCCATCATTGTCAATAGCTCCTCCTACAGTTGTAACCACTATTTCTACTTTATCATTGTGGATTGGTTTTATTGTTCTTTTCCTTTTTTCGGTGTGTATATGCACGCATGCGTGTGCGTGCATGTCTTCAACAACAGAAATTAATTTTCTCACAGTTGGAGGCTGGAAGTCCGAGATCAAAGTGTCAGCAGAGTTGGTTTTCACTAAGACCCCTCTCCTTGGCTTGTTCTTGCTGATGTCACTGTTATCATTCGAATTGACCAGTGCAACAATGAGAAGAACCAACAGGATGTATCTATACATAGAGATTTATCTTAAGGAGTTGGCTCTTATGATTGTGATGGCTCAGTGATTTCAAAATCTGCGAGGCGGGCTAGTGAGCTGGAAGAGTTGATGTTGCGGACTTGAGTGTAGGGATGTCATCCTAACACCATCAGTTGGTTGGCTGAGGCCCACCCACATGACGAAGGGCAGCTTGCTTTTCTCAATGTCTGCTGATTTAAGTGTTAATCACATTTAAAAAGTACCTCACAGTAACATCTACAATGGTGTTTGACCAAACAGCTCAGCGTGATACCCTGGCAAATTTTACATATAAAATTATGCATCACAAAGAATAAGGATAATGACACACAATTTAGTAAACACTCATGTCAAGAAGTGTGCTGAGCACTTTACAGACTTTTTCTCATCTACCCCTTGTGGCAGCCTGGGAAACTGGGAGTCTTCTAGTCAGCCTCTCAGATGAGGAAATTATGACTTAAAGAAGAAGGAAGTCCATCCAAGATTAGCTCACTGGATGGTGGCAGGGCTGAAACCCAGGCGTTCTGGCCCCTGAGCCCCCACCCTTAACCACCACACTGATGCCTCAGAGTAGAAACTTGTCTCTTGTACAATTCGGCTCTGTGTGTCCCTCTTTCCCCCTCATCTGGGGTCTTTATTGCCAACTCCTCCTGAAACCATCCCTTCTGTGTCAGCTTCACCAGGCATCTGGTGGCCTTTTCTTCTTTAATTCTTCAGCAGTCTCCAAAGGGTGGATCTACCCATGCTTACTCCTTCCATTTCAATCGGTGCCCCTCACTCTTTCTCTTCCTGGCAACTCTGACTTCTCCATCAGGACCCAGCTCATGGAGCACCTCCTCTGGGAAGATGACCTCTTTTTCTTTCCAGTCTTATTAGGCCACTTCTCAATACTCTCATGGTACCAAGAGATATCAATTCTTGGGGCACATGCCCCCTAGACAGTGTTATCAAAACTACTCTCCCTGCCTTATTCTGGACTGTGAGGAGGGGTTTCCACTCCAGATCATCTGTGCCCTGGTCCAGCCTGCCATTCATATTTTCCCTCTAATGGTGTCAAGGGTACAAGAACCATAAAAGGTATAAGAAACCTAGGTTATAGGGACATAAAAACAGCAAATACCAGAGTACTGTTTTCATCCTCATTTGCCCACTGAAGTGTTGCTTTTGTTTCTTCCATGTTGTGTCACTAAAAGTTCCCCTTTATGTCCTGGGTTCTCTTCAGGTGACAGAGCAAAACTTCAGACCAGTGAGCCAAGCACTTCTCAGCCAGCTTTGTGTGAGGGAGCCTTGTTCAAGGGAAGCCTGACTCCGGGATCTTCAAGGGACTCCAGGTTGGGGCAAGCCAGTGATCGGGAAGGGTTTTTGGAAATGAGGCCAGAGACAGACTCCCACAAGGAAACTCATCCTGGGAAAATGAGCCTTGATGGATTAAGGGCAGATGATGGTGTTACAGGAGTGTTACAGGAGAGAGTCTCTAGGGCAGATGTTCTCTATGAATGTGATCCGCAAGAACCAGGGAAAGGCCCCACGATTCACACCGGGAATAACCTCTACAAATGCAAGCAGTGTGGGAAAAGTTTCAGCAGGAAGTGGTATCTCGTTCACCATCAGCAGGTTCACGTGGGAATGAAGCCCCACGAATGCAACACATGCGGAAAAGCCTTCAGCAGGAAGTGGTACCTTGTTCGCCATCAGCATGTTCACACGGGAATGAAGCCCTACAAATGCAACACCTGTGGTAAAGCCTTTAGCCAGAGCTCCACCCTTATTCGGCACTACCTCATCCACAGCGGGGAGAAACCCTACACGTGCACGGAGTGCGGGAAGGCCTTCAGGCGCAGGTCCTACCTTGTGCAGCACCGCCCCATCCACACAGGGGAGAAGCCCTATGAGTGCAGCCAATGTCGGAAGGCCTTCAGCCACCGCTCGACCTTCATTCGCCACAACAGGACCCACACTGGAGAAAGACCCTTTGAGTGCAAAGAATGTGCAAAGTCATTCAGCAACAGAGCGCACCTCATCCAGCACTATGTCACCCACACGGGGAAGAAGCCATATGAATGCATGGCCTGCAGGAAGGCCTTTCGGTGCAGCGCTGAGCTCCTGCAGCACCAGCGGATCCACACGGGCGAGAAGCCGTATGAGTGCGCGGTCTGTGGGAAGGCCTTCCACCGGAGTACGTACCTCCTGCAGCATGCTGTCATCCACACCGGGGAGACTCCATACAGGTGCCTCGCATGTGGTAAAGCCTTCAAACGCAGGTCCTACCTCCTGCAGCACCAGCGGGTTCACACCTGAGAAGCCAGGACTGTAGTGCTGGGACTGTAGAAAGGCCTTTCATAAGGGGATCCACACTGGAGGAATGTTGGAAAGTTTGTTTTTTATTTTTTATTTTTTGTCAATTCTTTAAACACACTAAGTAGTCACCTTGGAGAGAAGCTCTGTAAATGCAGTGAATAGAAGGAAGCCTTCAGCCGCTGCTCAGCCCTCCCTCATGGAAGTGATAGGGTACATAGGAAGGTAGAGATAAGCAGAAGGAGAAAACTAGCCCTGGTTAGGAGATCCCTTGTAGCTGCTCTTGGAGCATTAATGGCAATATGTCTTTCACTGTAATATTTTTTTTTTAATTTAAACATTAACCATATTTCTTGATCACACTTGTACATCCTGCTTCTCAGGACCATTTTAATAAACTTCCCAAATAAATCATGGGGAATTAATGGGTTTATGTTTGCCCCCGGAGAAACAACCTTGGGAATCAAAAGGGAGGACAGGGCACGTCAGCAGAGAGAGAGGAAGATAATAGAGAGGGAGAGGTGGAGACAGTTCTACCCATAGAAATAAAAATCCTCACACAATGTAAGGGGATGCTGCTTCCCTCACTTGGGTCAGCCCGCTCCATGTCTCTGAGTGTACTTGCTTTTACTAATAAACTTCTTGCTGTCCTATGCTGCACAAACTGTCTCTTGACTGAATTCTTTCCGCCAAGAAAGCAAGAACCTAGGTACAAACATCATTCCCAGTAACAGAAGGACTCCTACCTGAAAGGAAAGACGCATGTCACCAGTGGGCCCACCTCCATCAACATCAGAGAACTTACTGGGGAAAGTCATTCTGAATATAACTACTAAGGACAGTCTTTAGCCAAAAGAAAAAATCTAACCTGCCATTTGAGAAATCATAATGAAGAGGAGCCACATAATTGTCATCGCTGTGGGAAGACCTGTGGCAGGTCACCATTTGTCATGAAGGGTCCTATTGGAATTTCACACAGCCTGGGCCTTGCTATACCTGTGAGAGAAGTACATAGGACACAGACCCAGTGGTTATGGTGCACTTCTAAAAACCTGCAGCTACAGGTCTCCCCCTTGGTTTACACTGAGAATGCCATCTCAGCATTATTTTTAAAAGAAAAAAAGGAGGGAACAGACAGATTATAAATGGAAAAAAACAAGTAACTTTCACAAACTCAGATTTCCCTGCCAAGTCTATTGCAGCTTTTCATCACTTATTTTTTGGTGGGGTAATGTTCAAAGATATTAGATTGGTGCAAAAGTAATTGCGGCTTAAAAGGCTAAACAATTTCAAAAGCCGCAATTACTTTTGCACCAACCTAATTAAAAAAAAAAAAAACCAGCTCTTTATTTTTTATATGTGTTCACTGGTGTCCTGTTAGGAAAGTTGGACAGTGAGGCCAGCTGTACAAACATTTGTTGAAAGCCTTTGTCCCATTTATGCACTGTACTCCATGAGTGGGCATAATTTGTGAGAACTATGAAGGCTCAAGTCATGAGATAATTAAACTTATAAAAAATTAGAATGCTTGGACCCGAGGCTGATTTCGCGTCCGCCAAGGCCAACAAAATGGACGTGTTACTGGATGACATCATTAAGCTGAACCTGAGCCAGCGAGGCGGCTGCGGCGGGGGCCAGACGCAGCCAGACTGGCTCCCAGGGAGGCCGTGGTTGCGGAGCACAGGCCGCTGCGTGCGCGAGGGAGCCGGTATGGCGGTCCCACCCAGAAAAGCTGGACTTGCCCTGCTGGCAGCGGTGGCAGGAACCGACCGGCACCCTGCAGCAGGCCTAAACAACTTCCTGACAAGTGGCAACGTGACTTCAACAGCGGCTTTGCGGGTGGTGCCGGTTTGGAGACTGGTGGAAACTGCTGGTGTCCAATCTGGATTTTGGAGTGTCCGACACTGATATTCAGGAATTCTGCTGAATTTGGCATTGAAGAAGGCGGTCGTGCACTACTAACCGCTCCAGCCGCAGTCTGGCAACAGCCGACGTGCACTTTGAACGGAAAGCAGACGCCAGAAAGCTATAAAACAGTACAAAGGCGTCCCTCTGGATGGCCGCCCCATGAACATTCAGCTCCTCACGTCACAGACTGACACACAGCCGAGAGCAGCACAGGGTGTAAACAAAGGAGGGATAACTAGAAACAGTGGTTCTGGAGGTTTTGGTGGCAGGAGAGGCGCCCACGGAGGCACCCGCAGGAGTTCAAAGCATCAGCTTTCGCAGAGGAGTTGGACGCCCAGCTGGACCTTAGAACATGAGAATGGACACCAGTTAAACAGACCAGCAAGCCTGTGCACAACACAGGATCCAGGTGGTTCGTCTATGCTCCCTGGCAGGAGTGGGTGGTGGACTGGGGCTGTGTGGCCAATGATGGAGTTTTCTCTCTTGCATTTTATTTTTTATTTTTTTATTTTATTTTTCCTAAGAGAAAACTTATAAGAGTTTATTTGAGCCAAACTGACAACAATTGCTAGGAAGCAAAATCTCAATGGATTAGGAAAATTTTCCTCTCTTGCATTTTAAAATAGGATTTAAAACTTATGTAAAGGTTCTTCTTCTCGTTCTCCTCCTTCCCCTTCCCCTGCCCCTTCCCCTCCCCTTCTGCTGCTGCTGCTTCTCCTTCTTCTTCTTCTTCTCCTTCTTCTTCTTCTTCTTCTTCTTCTTCTTCTTCTTCTTCTTCTTCTTCTTCTTCTTCTTCTTCTTCTTCTTCT